ATCTGGGTTGTTAAAGCTATCATCAACACTTTGGCATCTTCAGTTGCTGAGCAATTTTTGTTTCCTACCCCTGGTGGGGAGCTCTCCTTACTTCTTGCAAAGTTTTGTCTGAGATATTTCTACCTGAGCAGGCAAATATTTGCACATAGCAACCTTCACTGTCCTTGGGCCAATGAGTGTAAGGCATGGCACCCTACTGATTGCATCTGTACCAGCGTCTCCCTCGCAATCACAGTTTGCTAACTTCCTGACTTCTGCTTCAGGAGATGCCCCAAGCCACCACCCCAGCCCATAGAACAAGATTTGTCAAGACACTTTGGGATCCAAAGTGAATTTACCACCAATTTACATCTCAGTCCTGCCAGTGACCAAGTTTCCTGAATGCTGAGTGGTTTAGGTCTCTGAATCAAGAGGAAATGAATAGAATAAAATGATATATGAATTCAGAGGTGGTTTTGTTCTTTCACTATAGTGGCTAGAACTTAAAAATGCTGGATGTATCAGAGTTGCTGGGAACTATTTCAAGTAGCTGGTTAAACTGATGCAATAGAGAACAATTGTAAAGTATTTTTTAAAGTTTGAATGTGTGAGGCTTGGTTTTCTAAAAATACATGATTTTTTAAGTGTAGTTACTGAGATACAGAGTTGTGCTTCTCTTGGTCTCTCATGTAAATATTTTTGCAGCTCTCTCTTGTTCCTGAAAAAGAAAAAAACCTAGAAGACCTAATTCATGGCTGGGGGAAGTTTATGTTTCTTGGATGTTTGTTTTGCAGCTCCTTTTTATAGCCCAGGCTCAGGAGCGAAATGGGAGGAGGGGTGGGAAAGCATGTGGGGAGAAAACCAAGATGGTCACAGGACATGGATGTCCATTCCCACACCTTTCGAGAGCATTGAAGTTGGCTTTCTAGCCTGAAGGTGGGGATACACGTGCTATTCCCATTGCACACGCACATGCCCTAACAGCCCTGCTTATGCACATAAGTGTGCCTTTTTCCAAAGGACGTGGCCATCTGCTAGTAGGCAAGTGTGCCTTCACTTCAGGGTGTCAAGGCACCGCTGCTTTGCTTCAGGTATGAAACACTCACCACAGGAGGTTCTGGTCCAGTGAAGGGGCTCATGGTGCCATTGTTGCATGTTTGGTGGCTTCAGATAAGTGAGTGTTTGGTAGCCTGTTGATGTTCTTGTTTGTTAGCTTCTGAGTTTATTTTTAATGAATGACTCATTCCATTTTGGGTTTGCTTAACCACAAGACATCGAAGTGGGCTGGAAATTTCTATAACAATAGGAAGTATCAAAAGGGATGCCTTGTTTCTTGCTGAGAAGGAGCAAAGACGCCAAATTTGTCTTGCTTCTGGAGGACACCTTAAGGAGTGATGGGAAGTTTTAGTTTCACCGCTTCATCTTCTTTTTTCTTCCTTTTTTCTGCTTCTTTGGGACTTTGTGGAGGATATAAACTAACGAAGTATTAAATAAACTAAAGCTTAGTTCTGAGCAGCCTGATTTACAGCCCTCTCAGTCACATTTTAGGTAGGTCCTCATGAGAGTGTGATAACTGTTTAGATACTGTCCAATCCACATAGGAAAGTTTTAGCTGCTTTATAAATAAAAGTATGCTTTGAGTACACTTACACTTCTATAAAGTGTCATGAAGAGACAATGTAATCCAAGGGTGTCCTTTTGCTCAATTTACATTCCTTTTAACTGACAAAACCTGAAGAGGGGGGGGGGGAAAAGCCTCCTTATGCCTTAGGCTCATGCAAAAACATCTTCACTGGAGCTGGGAGCTTCAGTCTTATCCTGTCAGCTCACACTCACCCTGTGATCGAGCCATAAAATCAATTTCTGCAGAGTTTAAAGGCTGCACGGGTGCACCCTGGCCTGGGGAAGTTTGTTGATGGGCTCCCATGATTTGAGGTGTGCAGTTGTGGCTGGAAAGCCACAGAAGTCAGGAGTGTGACCTTGGAGTTTGTCCTGGTGAGGACTATGACCCAGGGCTGCGTAGTGTTGTGCTGCCAGTCACTCCCTAAGGTCAAGATAGAAATCAGCCCATGGCCATGGCACACGTGTTGAGGAAAGAGAGGTCAGGTTATGGAGAGAGAGGAGCTATTTTCAGATGTTGTCTGTGAAACAAGACTTGTAACATTACAGATACTGGGATGATTTTAGTTTGGTGAGAAAAGCTTGTGCATTAGCTCTTATGTGAAAGTGAGCTCAAAATTTTTTGCTGGTCAGGTCTGGGGAAAACAGGGACGCTAAAACTGGGGGGATTTAGCAGGGGGAGGTGAAGAGGGATTGGCTTTGCAGTCGTGGTTTGCAGCAGTTGCACCAGTTGGGCTGACATTACCTCTTTCTGCTCATTTCAGTGGAGAATGGTTTACTCCAGCAAGAGTCTGTGATCTGGTTTCAGCACGATGCTTCACAAAGCCTTGGGGGTTAACTAACGGATTACTTGAGATTTGATTTTTCCAGTGCTTCCCAATCAAGGAATGTATAGAGAGATATTTCCGGGTTTCATTCAAGCTTTCTTATGCAATCTCCTGCAATCACATCTTCAGGGAGATTCAACCTCTATTTTTTTCAGTGCACTCCTAATCAGACAGGAAACTACAAGAAAGCCCACTGCTAAATGGAGTTAAGCTGTCAAATTCCTCACCAAACATTTTATTTCTGCACAGTGACCAGCTGTAATTATGCTTTGCTGTAACTATGCTTGCAGAGATATTTTATACAATGTATTTTCTATGAGATGTGTCAATAACCATTGTCAAGAACAGTGGTGCAAGGGAGCCCTTGCTTCCAGGTCCTAGATTTCATATCTGTGTCGTTATGGATCCTGAATGTTTAATGCCATTTTTGTGATGTTTTGGAATCTACTAGGTAATATTATGGAGATGAACGATTAATTTTAAAAATAAACCAAACCAAATCACAACCTACAATAATAGTTTCTAATAGGATGCTGTTTATGAGTATAATTGCTTGCTCAAGCAAAGACCTTTCCTAATAGTCCTCTGTATATTCTACATGGTATATATTTAGTTACATGTCTGTTACTGAACTTTACTAATACATCATTCAATCATAGTTCTCCGTAATTCTATAAAACCTTTTCTAATCAGAAGCACCCACATACTAAATAAATAATTGATCTCTGCACCTTGGTCTGTTAGCTCATTTGGTCATTAGCAGATAATAAAGATTTCAGAAAGACTGACTCATCCCTTGTAGCTCCATAAGTGACTTACCAGTGCCTGAGTACCAGCATCAGGAGAGACACCAATATTTAATACATGCTGCTCTCATTGTATGAGGTCTTCCTTCTTAGAAAGTTTCGAGTTTTAAGCTTTAAATCACGGTTTTGATTTCTGTCTTGACTTGGGATGATACCCCATGTGACTGATGTCTGAGCAGAAGCCCCAACATAACATTTCCATGCACTTCACATGCTCAGCTTCCTGATCACTGACTTGTGTCTCCTCGTTTCTTTCCCCATTAGCATTATTCTGGCAGTGCCTTTTGTGACAATTACAGACAAAATGATCCCTTTACTGTCTCTGTCAGCAGTTTTGTTCGTATCTCACTCACTGGTTTGGTTCTTACAGAAAATGAAACAACCCACAAATCCTTGGAAAAATGAGAGAGGGTAAAAGGTAGAACTATTCCTGATGCCTGTGGGAAAACTCTTTTAGCAGTTCTAAAATGTACTTAGTAAAAACTGATGGGTTTAATTTGTCTGATGATTATATAATTGTGTATTAACTATTAATTCCATAAATGTAAAGGATGAAGTTGCAGTGGTTTGGGTAGATGCTAATTGTATGGAAAAAATGTATTTTGAATAATGATCTAAATTTTAGTCTGGTAGAAAACAGATGAGACCTGGAGCTGTCCTTCTGCTTTTATAAGCACCACAGAGTCTGTGTTACATACAGTAATTGAGTGCATATATGGTGATTCGATTGATGAAACTATTCCAAAGTCTCATAAGGAAACCTCCCTCCATGCTGGCTGAACTTTAAATTTCAAATATTTTTGATTTGTTTCTCTATCACTGATGGTGCTTCACCTGGAACAACCTTTAGTACACAGTCATGGTCCTAGCAATCTCAAATATCTCTTCTGCCAGAATCACATTAGGAAATGCTTCGTAACTATAGACATACCAGTAGCTAAGGCTAATGGACTGGAGATCTCAGGAGACTTTTTCACACTGGTGTTTATTAATGAGTTCTATCTCATTTGACCTTTATATGTATAATACTTAATATATAATAGTTATATATAAATACATATATATTATTTATTTTAAAAATATATTCCCTTTATTTTCTGGGCCTTTGACAAAATCATTTTATTAAATCCCGATATCCATGTTATCAGAGCATAACAATTTTTTAAGATGTGACATGACTTTTCAGAGCAAATCTGTGATGCTACTTAACGTGTGTCTAAGTTTAAATTGACACTAGAGCCCATTTGTAAGAGAATATAAAACTCTCCAGAATTTCCAGACTGGAATGTCCTGTACAAGACTGTGTTCTGGATTCTTGTTTTCCCCTGTTTTAAGTCTGGTTCTTCTATGTGACAAGCTTTGTGCAGTGGCTATAATCACTTTGCAGTTCCCAGTGTATGCAGCAACAGCTTTGGGGATCACCAAATTGGAAGTCTCAGATAGAATTAAATTTCTACAAGCTTTGCAAGAGTCTGCAGCTAAAGAGAGACCCAAACTGATGCCTACATTGAAAGGAAAGGTGGGCAGAGCTCAGCTTCCCTGTGTCCTCCTTGGCAGCTGCTGGCTGCCCTGCCAACTTGTGCTGCTCTTGCTCTGTAGGGGTGTAGCCCACCGTTGAGTCTACTGAGGTTATTTAAGTGGTACCGGCAGAAAAAGGAGACATGGGACAGAAATCATCAGGAAACCAGAACTCACTGTCACCCCTCTGTTGTATGCCTGAAAAACTGTCATCTTTCTCAACTATTGTTCTTGCACTTTTGTTTTGTAGGAATCAGAATTTCTCTGTCTGGAGTTTGATGAGGCCAAAGTGAGCCAGATGCTGAAGAAACTCTCGGAAATAGAGGAGAGCATGACTTTGTTGACGCAGACCACTTAACTCTTACAGCAAATAGATTGCAACTCAGAAAACGAATGGCCCTCGGTACTTTTTCATAATTCCTTTTGCATAATTCCTGTTTCTGCATATAAAATACGGAATTATTGTTAAATCCCAGTTATAACTGTACAACACATTCACAACCGAGTGTGGGCTGAGTCACACTGTAAAGCTTTCTCTGTCCCCTCCTCCAGGCCCATTCTCCAAGGTGGCGCCAGCGTTGTTCACATAAAGCTTTGCATAACCACACCTTTGAGTTTGGCATAGCTTTTCTCTTTTTTTCCCTCAGACAGTCTTTGAGTCTTCCAGATGCTGTAAATACTAGGCTGGATGAAGAGCAGAAGTAAGTTGGCCAGTTGTGACAGGAGACAAGAGGAGGATCTTCTGTTTATCCTTCCAAACCATGGGCTATGTAGGACAAATCCACCCACGTGAACTCTGCCTGCTTAGAGCTTAAAGCCTGGGAGAGTAGATGAAGTGCAGCAAGTTCAGGGAGCAGAGACACATTTCGTAATTGCGAGCCTCTGTGCTGCTGGGGTTTAAATGGTTCCCAAGGCTGTGAGGTGGCCAACCTTGCTGTCTGCTTCAGTCGCATGACCCGATGCCATGGGGAGCCAGGGGACAATGTGTGGAGCATCTCTGGGGTGGTGGGAGGTGCTGGTTTCCCAAAAGGAGCAGCCCTCCTGTGTGTGCTGAGTGCCTGATCCAGTGACCGCCTGGTGACCCTTCAAAACCACTTCTGACCGTCCACCCTCACCAGCCTTCCAGCTCTTGAGCTGTAGTGGTGCAGCCCTGGCAGCGAGCTGCACGGTGTGTTTGAGAGGCCAGTGCTTTGTCGGAGCACAGTTTAACTTGGCTGCACTTTGTTCTGTTTGTCATTATGTTTGTTTTGACCTCAGAAAGCCCCACGTTAAACCCAGGGTTTCTAGCGAGTGCATGTTCAGCTTGGAATTTGGGTAAAAGGAAGATGACTTTAGCGACCTGGCAGGTTAAAGCCATATTGATAAAATAGTTGTGTGAAGAAATCTTCCAGAGCCCCCGATAAGCTACGTACAGGTTGCTGTGGCTCTTGGCTGCTGCAGGCATCCCCGTCACTCTGCCTTAACACCAAACTGCAGAGCAACCACGACCCTTCTGGCTGAAGAGGACTGAGCAGAAAGGTTTTCCATTTCAGATGCTTCCGTTCAGGGGTGAAACCTTGGCAGCTTGTCACAGCAGGATGTATAACCACACTTACCAGCTTATCAGCACAGGAGGACCTGGAAGGGCTGTTCTGCTGCTTGTATGGAGCATGATGAGCCCTACCAAAGGACTGCCTGATAGTCCATAAAATAGTGATGGACCACCTGGAGATGACACCTGCTTGCTGTTTTGCTTTGTTACTTGACTGGAAGGTATGCACACACATTTGGTTGAAGGCTACACTGATTCTTTCAATTTTATTTTAGCTTAAGCAACCTCCTCCTGAGCTAATATTATATTAAGGGCTTGTACCAAGATAGAGATGACCACATAAAATGTTCTTGTGGCATAACTAAAGTACTCTTCGTTGCTTCTCCTTTTGAATTTATTGCTTGTGGAGTTGCCAGGTTGTACTTGGAAACAAACTCTCACTTCGGAGCAAAGGAAGGGCACCTTTTCCCATCTGCCTGGTCAGAAGGGAAAGTATCACTCAAGCCAATTTGTATCGCTACACTGGGAATTCACATTTCCTTTCCCATGCCTGTCCCACTGCCACCTCATCTCTCACAGCCACGTGGTTCTCCCCTCTGTCTCGTGGAGGGTCTGCGCAGCCTCACTTTCCTCGCCTGCCTCCAGCTGATCCTTGTCAGAGTGGAACTGAACTGTCACCACCAACCCATCCTCACACTGGTCCCTGGATAACTGGCCGCCAGCACGGGTGTGAAGTGCTGAGTGGTTGCTGATTCAGCTTTCCCCTTGCTGTTTCATCAAAGTTCATTAAAATGTTTTCTGCATTTTAGAGCATATTAAAAAAAAAATCAAGGTCAGGGAAGGATCACGATCTTAAGTAACTTGCACTGTGTCAAACATTGTTTTATTTTAACATGGTCAGAGGATAGGAAAATGTGCTATAAATGGAAATTAAAGAGAAACAAACTGAGAACAGATGTCAGGAAGTATTATTTCATGCAAAGCATAATAAATATGTGAAATGGCTAACCAGGCAAGGAGGCTGAGACAAAAACCATCAGGGTCATTTAAGAAATAGTTGAATACTTTCCTAGTAAAGGTGTGAAATTTAAAAGGGGCATGTTTTTATGGGTGGCTGCTTCTCTCTCTTCCTAATCCTCCCTCCCCTGAATATCTAATGTTCGTGATTTTCTTCTTGATGGATCTTCGTAAACTACTATGCAAAACGAGGAAAAAGGAAAGGGCACAGGAGTGTCACTGGACAGCAAAATCATTTCTGCTTCATGAGGTTTGACATGGTCAGGGAGAGAGGATGCTCCCCTTCCCCAGACTGCTGTAATGCCCAGCTGCTACCAGGGCACAGAGAACATATTTCCCCCTTGAGCAGGACCGTGCCTTCCCACTGAGATGGTTTATGTGTGTATCTGTCCATCTGCCTCTCCCTACAGAGTTTGGAACCTGTTGGCCATTTTTGGCTGAACTTGGAGGTGAAGAGGCCTCCCATGCTACTCTGCTTTCCTTCCTTGAGTGAAGAACACAAGCACCCATGGCTTTTTGTTGTGACTCATGGATGTTATTTGCCATCAATGGTCCCACTAAATATCTGTGGTGTTGACAAACGAAAGCTGCTGCTTACGTGCTTCAGGAAGAGATTTCAAATTCCTTCCCCAAAGCCTAAGTGTAAACCAGACTTGGCCTGACCACATGGCTGGGCAGCTCCCGCTGTGGCTGGGGCCACACATGGATGCTGCCCTCCCGCATGAGTCTGGCTGAACGAACATCCCAGCACAGCCCTGTTGGCCAGAGGGGCCTCATCCTGTTTTGGAGATCACTGCTACCTACCATGGCACCAGTTCCCTTGCCTGTGTGCTGAGTCATGCCAATAGTGTGACACCAGGGCCATCACCTCCTCCTCCTTTTCTTTCTTCCTTCAGGGGAGCAGTCACATGGCAGCGTGCCCTGAGCTGTGGGTTGAGCCTGTGGGGCAGTTTGTAGATTTACTGCAGGGACACAAGCAGCTCAGCACAGCCACAGGAGGAAAGTGAGGGAGATGGGGAAGCAGTGGGAGGAAGGGCTGAAGGAGGGCCCCTGCCTGAGTCCCACCTGGGAGAAGTTTCCTTGCTCAGTCCTCAAAAGCAGACAGGGAAGGAGCTGGAACAAAACTCATGCCACACTCCAGTATCCTTAACCTCAGAAAACTCTCCTTCATACCTGCCCTGCTGCAGGTGTACCTGCCTGTGATCTACCCCATCTCCATCCTTCCTGGTTTACTAGCAACTAAAAACCACTTGCAAGTGGGAATGCCATGTGCCACCAGGCTGGGATGGGCTTGGTTTCGATTGAAGTCTGGATATTTAATCTAACATGCCTTGTGTTGGTGGAGGCAGGATAGAGAGTGTCCAGGGCAATGCTGCTCAGGCAGGAGACAGCACCCAGCGGCACCAGCAATTTCCTCTGGTCCCACTTTTGCCGGTGCTTTCCTGGGTGCCAAAGCTTGCTGAAGCCATGGTGGATTTGTCCTGTGGTGAGCAAGGGCTGCTGCTGCAGCTCTGGCACCACGTACATGACAACTCCAGATGTGCAGCTCCTCCCAAGCTCTGCTCTTTCTTACCAAAGACTCACAAGCAACAGACACACGTTGTTGCAACTTTCAGTGGGTTCTTCCTCAGATGTCACCTTCTGCACCCCTAAAATGCCCTGCAATTCATTCATGAAATCATTTCTTGTTTTCTGGGAATTCCTCCAAGTTGCCACCCATTTATGATATAGTGCTCCCTAAAATATCTGCAAGTGCTGTTGCCTTCAATCACACATTACACAATTGGCAAGCCCTGCAGTCGCTCTCTGCCTGGCAAGACGATTCCTCTTAGCACAATTTTCTTTTGTCTTGGTCCACATATTCCCAGAACTGCTAAAATTTTACAGTATTTTTCTAGGCATATCTGTGTTTGAAATAACTAATAGTTTAGGCACACCATGTTTTTCCAAATCCATGCCAAGCAAGCATTGTATTTCATAAAGCTTGGGCCATGGAGAGCAGCAGATGACAAGGCATACTTCTTTTATATTGGTGTTGATTTACTTTCCCGTTGTTCAGGTTACTTAATCTCATTTTATTTTACACTTCTTTTTTAATTATTATTATTATTAATTTCCTTTCTTACAGGTCCTTTTTTTCAAGTGTAAATATCAGAATTAACATTTGTGCTTTTATCATGTTTCGTGGGAAGGCTTTTGCTGGAGTCCATCACCTCCACATTTTACTTTTTGATAATAAACTGGTGGATATTTTGAGAGATTTTCTTTTCTGTATATCAGTTCTTTGCTATCTATCGATAGAATAAATCACATTTTTCTGAGAAGATTTCCTGATTTAGATATTTACTGACCATTTATAGATGCACAAATGTCTGAGAAGTTTTACCTAATGACTCACGCCTGCCACACATTGCTTGCGGAAATGTTTCCTTCCCCTTCTGGGGAATTTCAACAGTTTATTCATTTATTCCAAATATTTATAAAGAGGCGCTCAGTCTGTGCAGGGGACAGAGGGAGCCTTTTTAAGACTGTATCTCACGGCACCAGCTGGGCAGGGGGAACGCAGTGGTGCTTCACAGCAACCACTGATGACCTTTTTAATGTGTTACATTTCATGTGACTTGTGACCAGAGAACTAGACGATGACTCCTCACCTTGGCGCCGGACCTGTTAAAATCTGTCTCAAATTATTCCCAAATCCCAGGGAAGCAGGGCTCAGGGTTCTGTTTAATACAGCAGGGAGACCAGAACTATGCTCCTGGGCTTCTCTCACCATGTCAGGAGGTAAATGCCACAGGGAGACAGGCAGCCGTCACCATCGAAGCTTCCTCTCCTCAGTGCA